TGAGGTTGCCTCTGCTGCCACTGCCTTCCCAACACACCAAGAAAGCCTGAGTGACATCAGACGCCTCAGGAATGCCACAGTAGTCAAAAAGAGAAAGGGGACAAAAAAAGTAAAAGAAGTCCCTATGGAAGGAGAGATGCGGCTCAACAAGACTGACTGGTTTGCTGTGATGAGAACGAGTTTGCTGGATCGAGGTGAGGAACCAATTCTGGTAAAACCTGAACAACGCGTGCAGCATGTTGTTGACTTGTACCAGTGTTTTTCCACTTCCTTCATTCATTTATTCATTCTCCAAGTCCTATGGTTAATTTTAGCATTTAATTCTATACTGTTCCAACCGGAGTCATCTTATGTTTCTTTAGTCATTTCACACCTCTTTTTAGTCATCTGATGTAGTTAGTTACCGTATTTTGCATCTTGTTGTGTCTCTTTGTGGTTATTTTGTGTCATTTGAGTGACTTTCAAACAACAAATGCCAGAGGCCTGCCTCTACCTCGTAGGCCTGTTCATTCATCATACTAATAAACCAACTATCACCTTCTGACTCTGGTCAGTGGTAGACACCAACCAGGTGGCCAACCAGATTCCAGGGTCCATGCCTCCCCCGGCCACCCCTCTGGCCTTGTCCCTGTGTCCAAAAACATTTCTACATTTCTGCCTGGAAACACTTGGAAAGTAAAACCACATGGTCTAGAGACAAGCCAAATAACTCTTTATTTTGATTTAATAACATTATGTGTAATGATTTTTATGTTACCTTGCTGGTACAATACAAAGACATACCCATTCACCTGAGACAGTTCAATGTCACAGGAATGTGTATTAAAAGCACTGACTTCATGGCAAGGAATTATATATTCAGCCTAGCTCTGCTGGAAGCTCTATTTAAAATGAACATGCGAGACTAATTGAGACAGCAAATAACAACTACAGCTGAATGTCTTCAATGCCAAAGTTCACATTCCTCTGTTGAAGAAGTCTGATCACACTTATCAACTTATTCCATGAGGTAAGCAATAAGTCAGCCACAGGCAGATTACCATCAGCTCACACACCCTGACAGAAGAGGAAGTTAGTTTTACATTCTCAGATAGCTGGCTGCTGTGGTCACTGACCAGTCACTGGTTGCTTAAGACTTTATTAGGGATGTCATGAATCATAGTGCTGCAATATAGCGCAATTTGACTGACGTCTAATGGGGATCATTTCAGTGGTAATTTCAGTGGTCATAGATTCCTTTTATTTCACAACATTAGCATGTGGCTACTTTCTGTAGAGCCTTATTGTACACTGTGAGAGTGTTAGGTTGTTTAGTTGTTAAGTGGCTAAAGTGAGAGGTTTGGGACAGACTGAAACACAAAACTGAAAAATCTTTTCATTGAACAGCGACAAATAAACAGTATATTTGGTCATCTTTCCTCATTTCTGTGTGTTTGTTTCCAGCCGCAGTGGTTCCAAACCTTTTAGCCTGATGTAGCACCCCGTCAGAGGAGTACAGGTACCCACTCAGTGACACCACCCATCGGGTTCCAAATATGCTCATTTAAACGGATCAGATCATAGACTGGATGATACTTAATATAGATGAATATTTATCTCATACCAGACCTTGTAATCCTAGATTTGTCATTGTTTATGCTTGGTCTTTATTTTATTTTTTGCTAATTTGCATTCACACACTTGGAGTAGCAAAGCATTTCAAGGTTTATCCACTAGTTTTAGCTGTGTTTTTTTATTTTACATATTTGCTTGTGTACTAACAAGTTATCAGTCACTAGTGGGTTGCAGGGGGTACCCTCCACAGTCATAGCTGGTATTTTATTGGTTATTGCCACAGTAAACAAACTAAAGACCGGCATCACACCAATCTGTAATCCTATTCTGTGAGTTTATTAAATATATCCACAGAAATATGTGGACGTTCCGATCATTGAACCCAGGTTCAACAGAATTTGCAAACACTGTTTCATGTTCATCCAACAGAAAGCAAATAGGATTGGACCCAGACTTGGCTGAATGACGGCGGCTGAGGAGGAGAGGTGGGTGGGAAGGAACAGGCGGCGCTCACACAATGAAGCCGTGAGGAAATGAGCAGAGAGGAAAGGGAGAAAGAATGGCCATTGGCAAGTTTGCAGCGGCTGGTGCGCAGGTTGAGTCAAGTTCACTGGGACATGATGACTGGTGTTTCTGGCTCAGGATCAGCTGGCCTGTGCAACTTTGACACAGGGCTACACTAGGACTCCACAAGCACGAACGCAGACAGGATGAAGAAAGAGATTGATTTCCTAATCAACAGAAAAGCATGTAGGCTATGATTTAGTGCGTGCATGTACATATTGACATTAGCGTAGTTATGGTATAAATGAACACCGTCTACTGTACTTCGGTCCCTCTTGTTAGCTCACACTGCCACTCCACAGGATTTACTGAAGCCAGAGGGCAAACAAGGCAGCAGTGTGAGAATGAATGGAGCCACAGAGGCCTTATCTAGATGCTGGGATGCCGAGGCAGGGGTTACACCTTTACATTGGGGGTCACAGGCCAATCTACCACGCCAATATGCTTAGAGAAACACTCCCAATTCAACCAGGTTACAGCCTGAGGAAGAATGTGACCCTTTTAATTCACACTGAACATGCTGATCATGAGGAAAATGTAAAAAATGTAGGACAATCCAAAACACTGTGTGCTACGGGTCAATAAGGCTGTGTGTGACACACCATGACATTCAGCTGTAGTTAAAAGGAGTTTGCTAGTAACACCTATGAAATCCACATCGACCGAGTCCAGAGTCACAAGACTGACCCCATGTATGTCCCTCTGCAGCTCACACTCACACAGCTCTGCCCTCACACACACATTCACAGCTAGTGCTAATGCAGGTACTCCTGTTGCTGGCAGGTCGCGCCCTGCCCAAGAGTGTGACGGGTGACATAATTAGGTGGAGCATAGTCTCTCTAGTAAAATACTACTGTATATGACAGGATAAACAGTGTGTAATAACCCCAGTGTGTTATCAATAGAAAGTAGTAATGACTTACTGCAGCAGTCATCAGTCACATCATAATACGTGTCTATTTTTATGATATTTAGAGTATTGAGGTTTATCTGAATATAAATCTCAGTAAATACCAACAGTAGAAGTTAACTGAACCGATATAACAGCCCAACATTGGTATCGGATGATATTCCAGTGTTGACTGTCATCAGCATATCGGCAAATAAGACGGCATTCACCGATATCAGTGGTCGATGTTTGCACTGGATAAATGTTTTGTTGGTTGTCTCCAACCTCGATGTTGGAGAAATAATCAGCTCCATTTTCCAGTCTCACAACGTGGATGAGAAGAGAAATCGATTGAGGTAGATGTGCTTATCTTTGTAGATTTATTTGTTTCCCTGGCACAAAAGCAGACAAACTGTTACTTTAAACATCATATTGGCTTAGAATTACCCAAATGGTCCACCCATAGCAATGACCTTCAAAGTTTGTTCTCGACCTTGCAAACAGAAGGTTTGACGAAGGTCACAACTACTGCACACATGCTGCTGCACCTGAAGACAAGTCTGGGCCGCGCTCAAGAGCACTTCAGCTGCTGAAACCAAGTTCTGTTGCCAGCTGTTCTGTGTTCAAGCGTTGGGATGATCAGCAGCGAAAGAATGGGCAACATGTCGATGAATCATTGAAGTCTTTCATTCACTGGTTCCCACGTTGCAAATGGAGGCCTGGCTGCTTAATGTGGGGTTCTGGATGGTTGGTTAGTCATAACAAGCAATTTAAAGATGCCGCCCTGGGCTTTGGGAAATTGCGCTTTATAAACTTCTAAGAGACCTTTTTCACAGCAGCCATTCTGACATGAAATAGTAGAGTAATCACAGTGAGCCAACATGCACAATGGCAGCACCCTGACTCTGTTTGACCTGAAGGAAACCTTAATTAGTACCACTGGTAACATGTGTTTGCCCTACTATATCATGTCAAAATGGCTGCTGTGAAAAAGGTCTCTTGATAAATATATAATAGGAATCAGCACTACTTGCAGCCCTGCTTTACTCCCCCTCTGCAAACTGTTTTGTAGCAGAGATCCGACATATGTTTCAGCCCGTTCCTCTGTGGATGCTGAGCATCTCTGGACCCATTTGTTTCTCAGTCACAAACCTGACCTATTACAGCTCACTGCCAGCTGAGCTCTGCTGCCAAACTGTGGGGTAAATAAAGCCTGTGTGGAGTACAGCTCAGTAGTCCTCGCCACCATTCTTTCACAGCAGCTCCACAGCTCCCAACCGCAATCTCCAAAATAAGCTGCATTGCTCCAGATTGAAACTAGAACAGCCTCTCTTTGTGTGTCTCTCTTTCCCGCATTCAGGCCTCCTCTCTCGGGCTCCTGCGTCTGTCACTTTCACTAACGCAGGTTAAGTTTAGTGTTTGATCGAGGACTTTGTTTTAGGGTCCCCAAATACGAACATTTAACCCACATGCAGTATTGCTCCAGGTTTGTTGCCTTAGTGGCAACACTGACACAACCAGGCCTCTGTAACACAATACATCCCCACCACAGAGGAAGAATGCAGCGCTCAGAGAGAAACTGTAGCCTAAACACAAACTCTTGTGTGTGAGGACAACATTAATGCAAGGGGAATAGCATCAGAAGGTCACAAGGTCAAATTTCAATCCTGTCCTCATTCTTGCCTCTACTCCACAACTACTGCCCACACTGCTGCACCTGAAGTCTACTCCAAAGACCACTTCTGCTGCAATCCTGACTCCACCTTACAGCCAGCAGCCTCATGGGAGTCAGCTTCATCAGTACAGGAGGGATGCTGAGGAGACTGATGCTGCTCAGCCACACCTCACTGGACCTCAGGTCTGCCCCACAATAAACCCACAGGGTTGACACACCAAGGTGTCAGTGGCCTGTCTGCCAGCTCCCCCCTCCTCCCCACCACACCAGGGCCGCAGCATCCATCCCGCCCAGCAGAAGCAGCAGCGGAGGACTCACCCAGTGTTTTGACCGCGATCTGCCGCGTCAGAGGCGGAGGCAGGTTGATGCAGACCAGATCCACATCCTGATGCAGCAGCACGTCGTCGATCCGGTTGGTGTAAAACGGTACGTTCATCTCCTTGGCCAGCTCCTCCGCCTCCTCCTGCGTCCGGCCCCACAGCGCTTTGACGGCGAAGCCCTCATTCTTCAGCAGCGGGATGATCACCCTGGCGGTCAGGCTGGTGCCGAACACGCCGACCCCTGGAAGCATGGCTCGGGTTTGTTTGTCTGATCTGCGGTTCTCTCTGTTTTCAGTTTCTTTTTACAGCTCTGGATGAAGCCAGACCGGCTGCTGCTGCTGCAGCGGCGGCTGAACGGGAGGGAAGCGGCGGCTGGGACCGTCAGGTTGGCCATCCACCTGCAGCCAAACACCCGCTGCGCTGCATTTTCCCGTCGCTCCGGCTCTGCGATCGGGCATGAAATGTCGTTTTTCTCCCCGGTAAATAATGTAAATAATCCAAAAACAGACGATAGACCGAGCCCGGCGTCCTCGGCGTTATAAAGGGCAATTTAAATGCACCATTCCGGTCTGTACCTCGTCCCCGTCTGACAGCGATCAGCACTGACTGCGCCAAGCAGTGAAGGGCATGACACCTCCTCCTTACGTTGGTTATTCCTCCTCCAGCAGGACCCTCCCTTCACATCCACCGACACGGAATAAACGAGAGCCGGGAAGGAGCTTCATCTGACGGCGTGCTGACAGAAACACCACCGTCGCCTTCTGTTCCGCTCCCCGGAGGATCTGCAGCGGCAGCGGCTGCGCTACACTGCTGAGGGCAGCTACTGATGTTCAGCTCCGAGACCGCTGTAAAGCTACAGACACTGACCGGAAGCACGACCGGTACAGAATTTTCAAAATAAACGCATCAGAATAAATGTATGGAATATCAAAAATAAAATAGTTCAAGATAAATTCTCACAAAACTCAGAAATGTTAAAAAAAATACAGTGATATGCTGTTTTAATTTATTTCATATTACCCTCAAAGCACAAGTAGATATAAAGAAATCTGGATTTGCATGACCAAACTTTATATGGACGCAAGGATACACAAAGGGAACGTTTTTTGTATTAGTTATCATAATGGTCTCTGTAATGTATTATTAATTATTATTACTTATTTTTTATTATTATTATTATTATTATTATTATTATTATTATTATTATTATGTTGTCCTATTAGTTGCAGTGGTAGTATTACTTGTTGTTACACTTTTATTTTAGTGGCAACCTTGGACCATTTCGGGTCTGTCCCTGTCTCTCTTTGTGTCGCTTGACGTAGCTCTCCTCCCCAGTTGACTTTAACCCTTCGGCTGCTGGACAGAACCAGGCAGCCTGCACTGAGCTGAAGCTGCTACTGTCCTCTACGGAGGAGTTATTCTAAAAAACCAAATCCAAGCTCAGGTCTGTCAACAGACATTATTCAGATTTCATTAGAACATTCCTATGATGTGCCAGGTGAGGTTACAGTGCACTTATTGTACTTCAATTTCATCTTTATGTCATCATGAATTCGCTGCAAATGAGGGAGCATATTTTGGTGAAGCATTGTCTTTGTATTCTTCTGAATTGTCTTTGAGACACAGTGACACTAGAGCCATTCTAAGGTGTTATATTCTTTCAGATGTTCTGCACACGTTGAATGAAAACACTATTTACCATACATCACCATACTGGTAGCTCTACGTCCTCTGTTCCTCCTGGTTGTTGAATGTTGCCTCTATGACCAACATCTCTGATTTCACATCAGCTTTCAAACACGTGCAGCTCTACTGACCAGCTTTACTCACTCAGCTGCACAGGGAACTGCAGCCCTAACCCTACAGTGGAGTACAGTGCACCCTTTACGCTCCACAGGGCCGTGTAACACCGCCTGACAGGATGCAACAAGACAGAGACTGTCAGCGGGAAAGACATCATTCTTCAAGGTTTAAGATATGATAGAGCTGAGCTCCTTTGCATTCTGCAGCAGGGATCAGAAGCCTTTGAAGTGGATAGAGGATTTGAATATCATCATGGCGGAGTCCACTGTGCACTCCACACACCATCTTCCTCTGGGGTTCATAGAGAGGACCCCTCACACACTGGGGCCTCACTGGGGAACGTGCCACAGCAGTTCATTTTATTGATTTTTATTATTTACTGAAATGATTGTACAGAATCATCTTTTAAATCCATGAATATGTCCAATGATAAATGTATTTACAACCAAAGTGTTGCCTTTTCTCTCATGTATGTTCAAGTTCAGTGACAGGAAACTTTTCTATAATTAAACAGCTGACACAGTTTGACTTTGCACACATTTATTAACACTTTTGACGCACAAAGAAGTGCAAACCTTTTTTTTGTATTGTCAACACTATTTTCTCTTAACTTTAAGCTGCATTTATATAATTCATTTTCTTTATTACTGAGCTTCTGCTGCTGGCTATGTGCGGCCTTCAGCATGTAAAAGATGTGACTGGTGCAATGGGTGGTGTTAAATCATCAACTCAATGTAAATATGTAGGTTTTGTTCATTTCAAATTAATTTGAAAAAAAAAAAAAAAGTGAACTGAACTTTTTCAGACCACTGCAGAACTTACAAACAAATATTCATTCTGACCTGAAATGACGATTTCACTGAATGTATGCTGAGTGTTCACTCATTAATTCAACTCATTAAATTAAGTTTCTAAAGAAACGGGTGCTTCTCTTTTTGCATAAAGTTATTTAAGAACACAGTTAATATTAGATTACTTCCAACAATACCCCTCTTTTTGTCATTTGAAGAAAACATACAGTACCCGATGAAGCTGTGTGTGTAGAATAGATGTCAGGGGAGAACTCCACCGATATTACAGATCAAATGTGTTTCCAGGTGTGCATATGTGAAATTCTTTTTTTTAATAAAGCCTTTTGACTCTCCAGAGACAGCTGTGTGAAGTCTGACAAATGTCCTCAAGTGATGTCACTTGAGTCAGTGACAGTTGGGACTGAAGTCTAAAAGTTTGGTAATGAATGGAATCGGTGGGTGTGGAGAAAGAAGTGATGTCCCAGACCTCTGTGCACTCCTCTCCTCTGCTGGAGGCCACATCAGCTGATACTAGCATAACACACCCAAACGGTTTTAAGCCATGGTTGTTTCTCCTCGTAAGGATAAAAAAAACACTGCAAGCCATGACAAAGGTCGAAGCCACTGAATTCAGTGTCAGCCTCCTTACACATAGAATTTAATAGAGTTGCTTGGAGCGGAGCAACCATAGCTAGAAAGGCTGCACTTTGAAAAGAGAGTACAGTATATAACTAGACGGCAGATTTGACTAGAAACCGTTGTTGAATGAACTTTAATCCATGTTTACTTGCTAGCAGTTTTCCTCCTCATTGCTATTGTTAGCATGTTGCTACCACAACTGAAGTGCATTTCACATGAAACCAAACTCTGTAGCAGTAGTGGTCAAACCTCCAAATTATATTATTATATCTGAAGTCTTAGTTTTGTTTCTTGAACTCAATTTCTGAAGTTCAGAGAACTTAAAGGACCAGTGTGTAGGATTTAGTGACAACTGCCGTCTAGTGTAGTTGTAGATCGCAACTGTCTACGGTTGCTGTGAAACACACACAGCCTTATCTAGAACCAGTGTTTGGTTTGTCCCTTCTGAGCTACTGTAGAAACATGGTGGTTCAACATGGCAGACTCCATGGAAGGCGATTCCTAAATTCATGTGATTACAAACTAATGAAACCATACCTATGAATATTAGATCCTCCCAACACTTTAGTGTTTCTAACAATAACTCATGAGCCAACTGTGAAGGAATTATTCAAGTTAAGTTGTGTTAACTCATATCTCAACCCGGTATCATGCCAAAGCGTGTAATACACGGCGGCCCGCTGTGGCAGTATCACATTTTCAACCCGTGCTCATACCACGGGCGATTTAGTAATAATAAATATGCAACAACCTGATACACTTTAAAATAAAGCTTGCTGAGGTTGCAGTTAATTTAGCTTTAGGAAAAGAAGTTACATAAAGTATCTTATGTTAGTTAAATAGATTATCTAAGTTAACTTATGTTTGCACTTAAAGTAAGTCAACATTGACTTTTGGTTTCACACAGGTCCCTGGCTGACAGTCCTGTGTACACACACTTTGTTGCTCTTCATGCTGCACAGTCATACATGTACATGTCACATCTAGGCGAGGCAAAACCTGACACAGTACAATTTTATTTCTGTAAATAAAACCCAGCCTGCATCCGTCTGTCCACCTGCTCAGCTGAGAAAACACAAAACCTCCAAATGACGGCCTTTCACCTGGCAGGACCTCTGCTGATCTACAGCTGATGTCTGCTGTCAGTGGACAGAAAAAGCTGAACATCATAGTTTGAATCAATATGGGCACGAGCATCAAATATTACACCGAATTACAGACAACACTGTTATTTTTGTCCACAGTGGTAGTGCTGCTGCTGAGAATCAATGAGAACATTTCTTTGTGCCTTTCAGTCTCTCTCTCTCTCTCTCTCTCTCTCTCTCTCTCTCTCTCTCACTCTCGCACACGCACACGCACACGCACACAGTACAGTTTCAACACGCGCTGTCAATATCCAGCCTCTCCTATTGATTTGGTCAACAATGCACAGAGCTAACAGAATAGAGGCACAGTACTTTGGACTGACAGATTGTGCAGAGAAAGTGGTGAAAGGCAACCGCTGGCTGCAAGAGGTCAAAGGTCAGTCAAGGCTAAAGCTCAAGGGTGTGCTTGTCGGAGAGTTTTTGGCAGAATGTGCAGCAGAGAAGAAGCCTTTTTGAACACTGGAATATTTGGTAACAGGATTCGTTGGTGCAATCAGCAACATGACTTCCTCCTTCAGTTATAGCAGTGCAACTTATGATCAGCCCAGGAGCAATTATTAGCTTTTAAAAGAAGTCAATACTTTTGTAGAGTTCAGTAATGATGATGATAATGTGTGCAGGCCAACAGGAGTGAACTCTAAATTGTAAACATGACGCAGTCTCTGCTTTGCTCTCCCTTTTTGCTCTATCATGGTCACGCTCTAATTCAATCAGATGTTGGTATGGTTTGTTTGTGTGAGACAGAGCATGTGACCAGTCGAGGTCAGGCCTGTTGGTGCTGGATAGCTGATTGTCCAGTTAGATAGAAGGGGAGGTGCAGATGGAGCAGGAGGCGGCTGACACCTCCCACAGCAGAGGGGGCTGAATGGCTCCCTGACAGCCTGCTGCACAGAGAGGGAACGACCACGTACAGGTCAGTAAACGCATCACCGCGCTGACGTGAATTTAGAACTATATCTCCGGGTCATCTGATACTAAAATGTGCCCATGCTTTATTTGGCTCAGAGATAAAGCGAGTGAGTGCCATCAAGCTGCAGCATGAAGCCACCTTCAAGGCAAGGTTGCCCTCTAGTGGACAGATGTTCCAACAACAAGACTATGACTCTGCAAACTATAATGAACATCTAGTGCAGTGTTCTAAAACATTTTTTGCTTGTGACCCCTTAATATGAAACTATATCTCCTCCCATCAGAGGTTGTATGTGAATGCGAGCAGTTCAACTGAACAGGAAGTTTCCCTTCTCAGATTGTTTCATATAAATGATTTTAGAGGCATAAAAGGGTAAAACTACAGGTTTTCACAAGAAAGAAGCAAAGCATTGAAAAAGACCAGTTAAATTAACATAATTTTGTGGAGTAGAATTAAGGTTTTTATTAATCATCTCGTGAACCCTTGCAGGGGTCCTGATGCCCAGGTGGGGAACCTCTACTGTACGCCTACAGCTGGGAAAAAAAGCAGTCACAGACAGTCTAAAGTGTTCTATCTCAAATGTTTGTTTTAGGTCTGTTAGTTTGCATATTTGTTTAAAGACAAATTTATTTAAGAATATCCAGCATCTAAGCATGATATCAGCTAAAATACTCGAACGTATTAAACTTTGATGAGGGCCTCAACATCAAACATCAACGTGAAAATGTGAGAACCACCTCTCAGGGGTCCTTTTATGCACTGAAACTATGCACGCATAAACACATCATGTACAATACAGGAATAACTAGCATAGAAACAAGTGCCAGATGAGCTGATTTAGAGTAGAGAGTATTCCAACTAGTAAAGAAAAATGTCAACATGGTAAATGTTACTCATTTTCAAGAAATCTACAGTCAGAAAACATTCTGACGTTTCATTGAAACTGTGTCTTACCATCTCTGCAATGTGATATCAGCCCTAACAGTGACCTCAGTAACACCACTAGCCTGGTATGTCTTTCTTTTGGCTAGAGATGTATCTTTATCAGCACATTTTCAAGAGAAATTATAACTCACCTTTAAGAGAACATGAATGGGGCACCTGGTAACTCACCTGGTGGAGCTGAAGGCCCTGCTGCTGCGGCTATGGGTTCAAGTCCAACCTGTAGCCCTTTGCTGTGGGTCATCCACTCTGTCCCCCCTTTCCTGTCAATCTTGAACAGTCGTAACTAATTAAAAAAGGCAAAAAGCCCCCAAAAAACTTATTTACAAAATTATATAAAAAGAAAGAAAAGTTGAATGCTTGTTCTGTTTGGAGCGTGGTATAGTGGTGCACTTCAGCCTCTTGTGATCGAGAGTATTACAACAACAAATACTTAATAAAAAACAAAAAACACCCCGTTCTCACAGATGAAAAAGTAAAGTGAAGTAAAAACTTTGAAAAAAATTCACTTGTTTTCACAAATGGAAAGAAAAAGTGATATGAAAAATGGTGAAACTTCCTAAAATAAGTGGATGCAGACAGGTTTAGGTTTATTTCAGCACTTTTAATAATTACTCAGAGAGGCACAAATACAATTTACAGGGCTACTTTCCTCTATATGTGCGCCCACAAGTGACTTCCTGTTCCAGCCTGTGAGGCCTGCCAACTGAGCCGGACAACAGCAGAAACACAAACATTATGCACAGGGACACACACTCCCACACACATTCTGCTGGTCCTCTCACACAGCTTCTTTTTCTCCTTTCATAGATCTGTATGTAACATCAGTTCTGAAAGAGAGCTGTGATTGGACACGTTTTTATTCCTTCAGCCGAGCCTCAGTGACACCTTGAGGTAGATAACATTCTCCAGTCACCTCGAACATTAGAGCTGTGAAACACACACTGCTGACAATCCTATTTACCTCCAGGAACTTTTTCTTCTTTTTATTTAACATCTTCTGTTCAAGGTTTCATGTATTTTATAGTTTTCTTTCTGCACAGCTACTATTCAGCTCAGTAACCAAATTAAAAACAAAGAAATTTCTTTAATAATTTATCTTTACAACTTTCAAACTTAAAACTAGACAATTTTAAGTTTATTTATACAGAATTATGTTTTATCTTTGGTTGCTAAAACATAAAACCGAACAAGGAAACTGAAATATGAACTTCATATAGTTACAGAGTTAATTAAACCATTCTTTTTTACCTCGGTTGCTTCACTCAAGTTTCTTAATATTTTCAGTCCGGGGTGCCCCTGTATCCGGAGGGGTTTTCAGTCCTGTGTGCATGCTGTGTTTCTGGTGGGTGGAACAAAACACAAAAACAGTGCTGCCGTCTTCACACATACAACATCTCTCTGCCTCCTCCCATAAAAATCACACCGAAAATGAACACTTAAAGTAACAGAAAGCTCAATTATAATATAACAAACACTATGGAGACCATTAC